CCAGACCTGTGCCTGCCCCGACTGCCACCTCCAACCGCAGGGGATAGGAGGCCCCACTCCCAGCTTCATCACCCCAAGTGTCCCTGGCTGTACCCCCTCTAGGAGAACCCAAGACCCTGAATGCACTCCACTGGGTCCCCCCATCCCAGCCTTACTGCGCCCACCCCTGTGTCTGTGAGCTGCTGTCACCAACCTGCACCCAGGTCCCTCAGGACAGGGGCCTCTGCCCGGCCTCCCAGCGGCTGTGGGAGCCCAGCTTCGCCAGGCTTGGACCTCCCCGCTAGAGGCACAGCCTGAGCGCTTCAGGGCCCCTGCCTGCTGCCCTCCGCTTCTGCTACCGCCCCCAGGCACCCCCCGCCCTGCCCTCCTGGGGGGCAGCACCGCCAGGGCCCTGGGCAGCGGGAGGATGGGTGGCCTGGGAGGGGGTTTTGGGGTGCAGCACTGAGCCCCGTGTTGTGTCCCTGCAGGGGGGGAGGTGAGCGCCGATGAGGAGGGCTTCGAGAACCTCAACACCATGGCCTCCACCTTCATCGTCCTGTTCCTGCTCAGCCTCTTCTACAGCACGACAGTCACCCTGTTCAAGGTGAGCGGGCAGCTGGAGGGCCGGGGCTCAGGGGCACCCAGCCCCGCCCCGAGCCGTGCCTCACGCTGCTTCTGTCATCCGCAGGTGAAGTGACCCGCCGGGCAGGAGCGTGGACATAAGGAGGGGGAGCCCGCCGCCTTGCACCCCAGCCCGGCCTGCCGCTGGGCCCTTGTACATAAACCCCCCTTGCAGCTTCCAGCGCAAGGAAGCCACTTCCCTGGACTCCCGCAGCCGAGCGCTCGGCCGGGGTCGCTGTGCAGTGTGTGCCCTGTCGCCTTAAAATAAATATGTATGTTCTCTTGTGACACTGCTTCCTGGTGGAGGGTTTTTTTGTTTGTTTGTTTTTAATTTTGTTTTATTGCTAAGAGTATTACATATGTCTCCTTTCCCCCCTTGACCTTCCCCCAGTGTCTTGCATCCATTGGTTGTGCTTCTATGCATGCATACAAGTCCTTCGGCTGATCTCTTACCTCCCGCCCCCAACCCTCCCCGGCCTTCCTGCTGTAGTTTGACAGTCTGCTCGAGGCTGCTCTGCCTCTGTATCTATTTTTGTTCATCAGTTTATAATGGTCTTAATTATCCATAAATAAGTGAGACCACCTGGTATTTTTCTTTCATTGACTGGCTTATTTCACCCCAAACCACACCTGCCTGTTGCATGAGCCTCATTCTGACGGGGGCGCGTGGGAAAGGGGGGGTGTCCTATGCCCAGGCCTGGGGTGGGGGCAGATCAGCCTGAAAGACGAGGCTGAGTTGGGGGGATGCAGGCCTGGGCTCTCCAGCATCACCTTCCCGTGGTCAGCAGGGCCTCGCCCGGGGAACCCGCCGGACGCGCCTCACTGCCTGTCGCCGTTCCTGGAAAGCCCAGCCACTCCGTCTGTCCCAACCTCGCCGAGTGTCTGGGGTGTGTCCGTGGGACCCGGTGACCAGTCTAGAGCATGCCTGACCGGGAGGCAGGACAGAAGGGGGAGGCGCCGTCCACTCTGGGGCCAAAACAAGGCAGGTGGCAGCCGGGCCAGGAGCCATGGCAGGGCGACTGTCCCCAGCAGGACTGGAAAAGGACACGGGTCCCAGGGCAAGTCTGACAGCTTCCAGGCTCCGGCTTCGTTTCCATGAAATGAATCCCGTCCGGGCCCAGTCCATGGGGCGCAGGGGCTCCAGCAGGGCCCAGGCAGCGTGAGGTCACACAGCACTGCTGGCGGCTCTTACGCGCTTGGGCTGGCCCACAGGACAACACTGTGAGTGTCCGAAGGCCGTCTGGGAAAGCAGCACCGGCCCGACGGCTTAGACCACAGATGTGCCTCCTGCCGGGCTCTGGGGTCAGATGGAGGCGGAGGCGGGTGTCCCCTGTGGCTGGCCCTCCTTCCCACTCTGCGGCCTCAGCGCGCTCTGTGCCTCCACCGCACATCCTGCGTGTGTGTCTGTCCTCACATCCCCTTGTCATAAACCCGCAGTCACACTGGATGGGGGCCCAGCCCAATCCAGGGCATCCTCACCTTAACTCACTGATCACACCCGCCATCATCCTAACAAAGGTGCCTTCTGCAGTACCAGTGGGCAGGACATCAGGATATAAATTGGGGGACACACTCAAGCCACAGCAGTCCAACCCTCTGGCTCCCCAAAGTCACACCTTTCTCACACGCAGAATACCCCATCCCAACAGCCCCCGCAGGCCTAACCCATCCAGCATCCCCTCTCAGCCCCAAATCTCAGCTAAACCAGGCAGGGGAGTCACAAGAGTGAGGGATCCTGGGACCAGGGGCTCCCCAGCTGCAAGGCTGTGGCGCAGACTCGGGCAGCAGGCAGGAAGGCCCCAGGGCCGGCATTCCCACCCCAGAGGGAGGAGAGGGGCGGAAGGGAAGCCATGGGCCCAAGCAAGTTCACGCCTGGAGGGCAAGCCCCATGAGATGTTTTGTAATTGATTTGGGAGAGAAACTTTGATTTGTTGTCCGGCTGGTGTGTTCACTGTTGATGGTAGCCATTCCTGCAGGTGTGAGGTGGAACGTCATTATCGTTGTAATTTGCATCTCTCTGATGGTCAGTGACTTGGGGCATTTTTTCATCTGTCTCTTGGCCATTCTCATGTCCTCTCTGGAGAGATGTCTACTCAGGTCCTTTGCTCATTTTTAAATTGGATTGTTTGTCTCCCTTCCGTTAAGTTGTAAGAGTTCCTTATACAGTTTGGAAATCAACCCCTTACCAGACGTATCCTTGGCAAATATGTTCTCCCATACAGTGGGCTCCCTTTCCATTTTGTTGATGGTTTCCGTGCAGAAGCTTTTTAGTTGGATGTGGTTTGTTTATTTTTTTCCTTTGTTTCTCTTGCCCTGGGAGATGTATCGGTGAAATTCTGCTACGTGAGATGGCTGAGATTTTACTGCCTATGTTTTCTCCTAGGATTTTGTGGTTTTATGACTTACGTTTAAGTCTTTTATCCATTTGGAGTTTATTCTTGTGTATGGTGTAAGTTGGTGATCCAATTTCATTTTTTTTTTGCATGTATCTGTCCAATTTTCCTGACACCATTTATTGAAGAGACTGTCTTGACTCCATTGCATGCTCTTACCTCCTTTGTCAAATATTAGTTGACCATAATGGCATGGGTCAATTTCTGGGCTCTCCGTTCTGTTCCATCGATCTATATGCCTTTTCTTGTGCCAGTACCAGGCTGATTTGATTACAGTGGCCTCGTGGTATAGTTTGATATCTGGTTTTGTGATCCCTCCAACTTTGTTCTTAATTCTCAAGATTGCTGTGGCTATTCGGGGTCTTTTTTGTTGTTGTTGTTCCATGTAAATTCTTTGAATTGTTTTTCTAGATCTGTGAACTATGTGATTCCAGCATTATCCTAATTCCAAAACCAGATAAAAACACTACAGAGGAAGAAACAGGCCAATATCCCTGATGAATATAGATGCTAAAATCCTATGTAAAATATTAACATATCAGACCCAACAATGTATTAAAAAGATCATACACCATGACCAAGTGGGAGTCATTCAAAGAATGCAAGGCAGGTACAATATCCGCAAAACAATGAACATGACACATCATATAAACAAACTGAAAGACAAACAT